GTCAGTGGAGTTGTCAAAGGAGGAAGTGAAAAATCAAGGATAATGCCTTTTACCTCATCTGATATTTCTGTTCACTTGTCACCAGCAATACAGTGATTTTATGTGGCAGATATATAAGAGGTTTGGGTGGCTGCATAGGTTTCTTAGTCCGTGAGCAACCTCTATTGTTGATAGAGAAAAGTGTAATTTTTTTAATAGATGGGGCAAGAAGATATGTCTTGTGATGGTTTTTGCTTTTCCAGAAAACTTTATTTCCACCATTTGACTTCTTTTTTTGTTAATCACCAAGCCTCCAAGAGATCTATCATCCTTCACCAGAAACAATGCCACCTCTAGTCCCACATATTTTCCATCATTTTCCATTCAGTTCTCCAGAAGCCAAGCTATGACACAGGAGAGCTCAAATATTATTATTTCATCACTCAGGGTCAGACTTTGTCTTTTTAGAAGTGATCTTCTCTGTGTTCTATCACAGTCTCTCCTGGAATCTCCTCTGCAGAGCTAGCTTTGCATGTTTATTTTCCACTTAATTTTTGTAAATTGAAACTTTGTCTTCTAGTTATTCTGTGAGTTATGAGTGATTTTATTTGCAATATTTAAATATATATATATTGTATATATATATATGTTATAAAGTTTGAGTAAACTCTGGGAGTTGGTGATGGACAGGGAGGCCTGGCGTGCTGCAGTCCATGGGGTTGCAAGGAGTTGGACATGACTGAACTGACTGACTGACAGACAGATAGAAAAACATGGTTTTTGAAAGCTGTATGGAGAGACTTAGGCAGGTTTCATTATCTGATGAGAATGTAATTCAGTATTTGAAATTTTCAAATGCTATTTTAAATCATTTTTCTATTTTTTTCTGGTATGTAGAAGTAAAATAAAAAATTGTTATTGATTTTGTTTTTAGCTAGATTGCAAACTTATTTTATTAATAAGGTTAAATAGATATGATTCTTTGGGATTTTCTACATGTGCCATCAAATCTTCCACATATTCTGAGAGTTTTTACCCAATTCCAACACATTTTATTTCTTTTTCTTACCTTATTGCTGTGCTTAGGACTTCCAAAGCAGTTTTTTATTCTTCCCAAGGACAGAGGATATTTACCTTGATTGTCTTACACTGCCATTATTGGCAGTGCTTATTAAAGACAGACACACATTCTCCCACTCAGGTTATAGGAGTAAACACTGGTATTACCCAACCCTGCTGATTACTGCCTGATTGGCCAGGTAAGCTGAATAATGTAATAATAATAATATTTGCTGTTGTTGTTCAGTCACTCAGCCGTATCCGACTCTTTGGCCACCCCATGGACTGTATGAGATCCAACCAGTCCATCCTAAAGGAGATCAGTCCTGAAGTTCATTGGAAGGACTAATGAGTGATGTTGAGCATCTTTTCATGTGTTTGTTAGCCATCTGTATGTCTTCTTTGGAGAAATGTCTGTTTAGTTCTTTGGCCCACTTTTTGATTGGGTTGTTTACTTTTCTGGTATTGAGTTGCATGAGCTGCTTGTATATTTTTGAGATTAATTCTTTGTCAGTTGTTTCCTTTGCTATTATTTTCTCCCATTCTGAAGGCTGTCTTTTCACCTTGCTTATAGCTTCCTTCACTGTGCAAAAGCTTTTAAGTTTAATTAGGTCCCATTTGTTTATTTTTGCTTTTATTTTCATTACTCTGCGATGTGGATCATAGAGTATCTTGCTGTGATTTATGTCAGAGAGTGTTCTGCCTATGTTTTCCTCTAAGAGTTTTATATTTTCCGGTCTTACATTTAGATCTTTAACCCATTTTGGGTTTATTTTTGTGTATGGTGTTAGAAAGTGTTGTAGTTTCATTCCTTTACAAGTGGTTGACCAGTAAATGGATTGTCTTTTCTCCATTGTGTATTCTTGCCTCCTTTGTCGAAGATAAGGTGTGTGGATTTCTCTCTGAGCTTTCTGCTTTGTTCCATTGATCTGTATTTTTGTCTTTGTGCCAATACCACACTGTCTTGATGACTGTAGCTTTGTAGTAGAGCCTGAAGTCAGGCAGGTTGATTCCTCCAGTTCCATTCTTCTTTCTCAAGACTGCTTTGGCTATTTGAGGTTTTATGTGTTTCCATACAAATTGTGAAATCATTTATTCTAGTTCTGTGGAAAATACCATTGGTAGTTCAATAAGGATTGTGTTGTATCTATAGATTGCTTTGGGTAGTTTACTCATTTTCACCATATTAAGTCTTCCATTCCACGAACATGGTATATTTCTCCATCTATTCATGTCATCTTTGATTTCTTTCATCAGTGTTTTATAGTTTTCTATATATAAGTCTTTTGTTTCTTTAGGTACATTTATTCCTAGGTATTTTATTTTTTTCTTTGCAATGGTGAATGGAATTGGTCAATTTCTCTTTCTGTTTTCTCATTGTTAGTGTATAGGAATGAAAGAGATTTCTGTGTATTAATTTTATATCCTGCAACTTTACTATATTCATTGATTAGCTCTAGAATTTTCTGGTGGTGTCTTTAGGGGTTTTTATGTAGAGGATCATGTCATCTGCAGACAGTGAGTTTTACTTCTTTTCCAATCTGGATTCCTTTTAGTTCTCTTTCTTCTCTGATTGCTATGGCCAAAACTTCCAAAACTGTTGAATAGCAGTGGTGAGAGTGGGCACCCTTGTCTTGTTCCTGACTTTAGGGGAAATGCTTTCAGTTTTTTTTGCCATTGAGGATAATGTTTGCTGTGGGTGTGTCATAAATAGCTTTTAGTATGTTGAGGTATGTTCCTTTTATGCCTGCTTTCTGGAGAGTTTTTATCCTAAACGGGTGTTGAATTTTGTCAAAGGCTTTCTCTGCATCTATTGAGATAATCATATTTTTACCTTCCAATTTGTTAATATGGTGTATCACATTGATTGATTTGTGAATATTGAAGAATCCTTGCATGCCTGGGTTAAAGCCCACTTGGTCATGATGTATGATCTTTTTAATATGTTGTTGTATTCTGTTTGCTAGAATTTTGTTAAGGATTTTTGCATCTATGTTCATCAGTGATATTGGCCTGTAGTTTTATTTTTTTATGGCATCTTTGTCTGGTTTTGGTATTAGGATGATGGTGGCTTCATAGAAGGAGTTTGGGAGTTTACCTTCCTTTGCAACTTTCTGGAAGAGTTTGAGTAGGATAGGTGTTAGCTCTTTTCTAAACTTGTGGTAGAATTCACCAATGAAGCCATCTGGTCCTGGGCTTTTGTTTGTTGGAAGATTTTTGAATGCAGTTTCAATTTCTGTGCTTGTAATTGGTGTGTTCAGGTTTTCTATTTCTTCCTGGTTCAGTTTTGAAAAGTTATACTTTTCTACGAATTTGTCCATTTCTTCCAAGTCGTCCATTTTATTGGCATATAATTGCTCATAGTAGTCTCTTGTGATTTTTTGTATTTCTGTGTTGTCTGTTGTGATTTCTCCATTTTCATTTCCAATTTTGTTGATTTGATTCTTCTCCCCTTTTTTCTTGATGAGTCTGGCTAATGGTTTGTCTATTTTATTTGTTTTCTCAAAGAACCAGCTTTTCATTTTGTTGATTTTTGCTATAGTCACCTTCATTTCTGCTCTGATTTTTATGATTTCTTTCCTTCTACTAACTTTTCAGTTCTTCTTTTCTTCTTTTTCCAGTTGATTTAGGTGTAAAGTTAGGTTGTTTATTTTATATTTGTATTGTTTCTTGAGGTAGGCTTGTATTACTATGAACTTCCATCTTTGCACTGCTTTTACTGAATCCCATAGGTTTGGGGCTGTCTTGCTTTCATTTTCATTTGTTTATATGCATATTTTGATTTCCTTTTTTATTTCTTCTATGATCTGTTAGTTATTCAGAAGTGTGTTGTTTATACTCCCTATGTTTGTATTTTAATAGTTTTTTTCCCTCTAGTTGACATCTAATCTTACCACATTGTGATGATCTGTTTTGAATTAAATTTTGTATATAGTGTGTGTGTGGTATCTTCATTCTTTTGCATGTGGTTATCCAGTATTACTGGGGCTTCCTAGGTGGCTCAGTTGTAAGGAACCCACCTGCCAATGCAGGAGATACAAGACATGTGGGTTTGACTCCTGGGTTGGCAGGATCCCCTGGAGAAGGAAATGGCAACCCACTCCAGTATTCTTGCCTGAGAATCCCATGGATGGAGGATCCTGGAGGGTTACAGTCCATAAGTTGCAAAGAAATTTGATCAGTCAGCTCTCCTGGGTCTCCAGCTTGCTGACTCAACCTGCAGATCTTGTCAGTCTCAATAATCATGTGAGTCAATTGGTTCTGTTTCTCTGGAGAATCCTTACTAATATACCCATATAAGTGGAATTATATAATATTTGTCATTTTATATATGCTGTGTTTCATTTAGCATGTTATCAAGGTTCATCCATGTTTTAACATGTATCAAAGATACACCCTTTTAAAAATGGGAATATCCTCTAGAACATATACTATCAATACTTTAGTCCACTAAACTGCCAGAAGCATAAGTGTTTAATTCAGCCTTGAGGGAACAAGAAATTCTTCTTGGAGGAGATCATGTCTATCTGAGGCTTGAAAAAATGAGCCAGGTGATAGGGTCAATAGGAAGTATTTAAAAAAATGTCCTAGGAAGAAGAAACAGTATGTATACAAGTGTAGTGAGAGAAAGAACACGGTGTTTTTAGAGGCCTGAGGGTTTCTTCTTATGAGTGGGGCTTAGAGAGTAAAGGATCAAGTGGCAAGAGACTGCACTAGGAGATTGGTAAGGGTCATGCCGTGGTCAATTCTTGCTGAATCTAAGTTGCAGTGCTGTTGCTGATACTGATCATTAAGCATTCCATGAATAAACTCTTATTTTTCTTCACCCCTCTGATGCTTGCCACCATCTTGAATGACATCAATACCCCTGAGGAAAATCAACTTTTGGCTCTACTCTGCCTTTCATAGTGTCCTAGATGTCAAGTGCTAAGAGAAGTTTTGTGCCTATGAGATCAGCATACCTTCACTTTGCCATTCTGAAGAAATGGAGTCCAGTTATGGCCCTCTTGACTACTGGATATGAAGAACTCCTTCACATACATGCTGGTAAGCATAGATTTCACCCCTTGGGTGGTTATTCCTGTAACTCTCATTGTCTTCTGGAAGTCCACTTGTAGCCACTCTTTTGGATTATTCACCTGGGGAAGTTAGAGTAGTGCCTTGTTGATCCCTATTTGCTCCCAGAAATCACCAAATGCCTTCTTAACCATAACTCAGCACTTATCACTCTGCATATTAATTATCTGTTTGCCAGTCCCCCATATTAGACTCAAAGCAAGCAACTGGGGTTACCCACTTAATAGCTGCCCAGTAAATGTTCACTGAATGAATGTATGAGCAATATACAGACTGAAAAATATTAGCCCAGTACTGCATACAGATACTTTGTTTCCAGGAGGAAATGATCCCTAATTAGGGATCATTTCCCTCAGTGAACGTTGTGAATGCACATGGCACATCCACTAAATATCTGTGGGGTTTTCTGTGCATAGTCAACTTTACTTGACACTCTTGGTGGGAACAATCAGATGATGGAAGTAGCTGAAGAAACAGTTCAGAGCTTTCCCTATTCTTTCCCAACCACTGCTACCTACTCTGAATCAGTTAAATGGTAAATTTGTTCCCTCTTACCTGGGGTCTCCAGGCATTTGTCCTCCCTTGAAGGTTAAGTCGGGCTTGTGAAGGAGACCAGGTGGCAAACATGTTGCTTAAGTGGGATGAGGCACTAATCTGTGTATCTAATATTGCTTTATTCTCCATTCCCAGTGGCATGTTGCAACCTTGAAGAAATGGAACAAGAATGTCATCACAAGAACAGATTGCAGCCAAGGTTCTTCCTCCACTGACATTCTAGTTGTCATCATGACATCATTTTCCAGGCATTAACTTTTGCATGTTATTGTTAACATGCCCTGGATTTTCTGGTCAGCTCTGCTAAGCTCTGTTGGGCTTTGATTTGCCTTGTTAATAGTAGTGTAGGAGATGGCTGGCCCTGGGGAATTCCATGGTTAGGATGAGCAAATGATGGGTTTGCCCAGGACTGTACTGGTTTTAGCATTGAGACTTCTGTGTCCTGGGAAACACCCCCACCCCCCATCACAGGAAAACTAGTATGGCTAGTCATACTACCCATGGTTGGGAGTGGAAAGTACATGGGATGACTTGAAACTTACTGTTTAAATTACAGCCCATCAACTCCATGCGAAGAGTGCTGCGGATGCTGTAATGCGTTGGGTGCAAACGGATATATCTAGCAATAATTGGAGGGTTAAAAATATTGTGTTTTACTCCAGATGAATCCACATTGCCAAAGAACACCTGTAAAATGAAGAAAGAATAAGAAGCAATTACTCCCAATCAAGTTTTTTGCCTCTAAATTTGTGCATTTCTCAACAGCCCCCTGGTGGCTCAAATGGTATAGAATCTGCCTGTGATCCAGGAGACTTGGGTTTGATCCCAGGGTTAGTAAGATCCACTGGAGAAAGGAATGGCAACCCTCTCCAGTATTCTTGCCTGGAGAATTCCATGGAAGGAGGAGCCTGGTCGGTCCCAGGCCATGGGGTCACAAACAGTCAGACATGGCTGAATGACTAACACTTTCACTTTTCAACAGCACCCAACACTCAGAACCATACTGGCTAGACAGGTGTTAGAATACAAAAGATGAAGGAGAAAAATTATAGGAAGAAGAGTGAATCAAGGGAGATTAGGTCTGTGCAGGTGAAGTAGTCTACTCTGGGGTCCTATAAAATGTTCATCAAACTCCTAATTTATCCACCCCTCCTTTCCAACTTTGTAACCATAAGTTTGTTTTCTACACTTGTGACTATTTCTGTTTTTAAATAAGTTCATGTGCACCTTTTCTTTAGATTCCACATATAAGCAATATCATGTGATATTTGTCTTTCTCTATCTGACTTACTTTACTCTATGTCAATCTCTTGGCACAGCATTATTTTTGATAAATAGATCAGCTTCATTTTAAACTCAATTCTTATGTCTTCATTAGGAACCATCTTAGGAAGACAAAGTATCTAGATATTTAATGCAATGCCTATGGAACTCACAATGCTCCATTTTACAGGAATGTAAAAGCCAGCCCTAAATAGATATGGAATTTCAAGGGACCCTGAATAGCCAAAATAATCCTAGAAAGAAGAAAAAATTTGGAGGACTCAGTTCCGGATTTCAAAACTTACTCCAAAGCTACAGTTATTAAAACAGTGTGGTATTGGCATAAGGATAGACACACAGCTCAGTGGAATAAAGAATTTGGAAATAAACTCATAAATTTATTAATGTATATAAGTCCCAAAGAGTTGAAAACAGGCATTCAAAAAGAACCCATACAGAAATGTCCACCACAGTAGGCACAAGAGAGAAGTCACCCAAATGTCCATCCACTGCTGAGCAGATACAAAACATGTGTGGTCTAGCCATACAGTGGAATACTATTCAGCCAGGAAAAGGAAAGAAGTGCTGATTTGTGCCACCACGGGCATAAGCCCTATGCTCAGTGACAGCAGCCAGACTCAGAAGGCCACCTATTTATTGTATGCCTCCACCTCTAGGAAGTCGACAGAACAGGCCAAGGGCTGTGGACAGGAACCTGATGAGTGCTTGCCTGAGGACTACGGGGGTGTGGTGGGGGAAACTGCAGGAGGGGGCAGTGGGGAGTGAGTGCCTGGCCGGTTCAGGGGTTTCTCTTTGTGGTGGTGCCAGCATTCTAGACACAGTGGTGATGGTGGCCCAGCACCGCCAGTGTACACTTGATGCCACTGGGTGGTCTGCTGCCTTCTCTGTACAAAGGTCTCCTCCCGTGGAAAGGGAGCGTTCTGACAAAGAGAGGGTCCAATGGGCAGGGTGAGCAGGGTCCTGCCAGCACCATGTCTTTGCAGGCCCAGGCCTGC